AACTTCAATTAGGAGTTTTCATTTTGACACGAAGCCCATAGCCGACAGAGCGTTGTAGCACCAGAGATAGAGGCTGAAAATGCAATGTGAGCACCTCTGAGGGGGAGTACAGGAAGCGGAGAAAGGATAAGAGGTTAACAGGCAAAAATGTATAAACATGCCTTGTCAAAAAAAGTATGTGTCTCACTTTCCCAAAATGCAGGCTGAAAGGGAATAGTGTAATGAAATTAATAAGGTTACGGGACCTCCTCTGATTTTGAACAAAGAGAAAATCGGGACACTTTGTTTTGTGGTTTAATTAATAATGCAGAATAAAACAAACTTTCACTTGGTTTAGCAAGGAACACAAAGAGATTAACGTGATAATGAGAGTAAATAGATATACTGTAGATAAACAAACTGTAGTTTAGTCCCTAGTTTAGTCCCTAGCAAATTATAGCTGAAACAGGTTCAATGTCAACTGACCGATCTGCATCACTCATCGTCTACTTGTTCAAGCCTCAAATACAACAGCAATGTACAGTATTGTTTGACCAAGGTCTGAAGAACAAGTACACTGGCTTCAATGTAACATATTGCACACAAAAAATGTTCCTATTAAACAGAGAGCTGCTGTGTTTTTTAACAATTACCCTGAATAAGAAAAATGTTGTGGATTTCCTGGGGAGTGATGTACAAAACTGTTCAAACAATACCATATTATTAATACAGGCTGTGGGTGTAATTTCACCCTGGTTATAGATTTTACTATATGTTTGTAGTCAGTACTTTAATATATCTGAGATGGGTTCCGGGAATTTAACTGCAATGTGTGCTGTAAAGAACTTTAAAGTAAAGTGAGAACATTCTAATGGACACAGACTGGTAAAACAAAAAACCTAACAGTGCAGCAGCTGCACTGACTTCCAGATTACCTTGGGTGATAAAATTAGCTCTCGTGACTAGCAAAGGGACACATGTCCTTGTAGGTAATGAAGACATGATGATCATACTGTTAAGATGGAAAAGTGAATAATGAAGAGAAACAATTTACCCATGACACCCCTGATTTCCAATTTCGCAAGCCTGCCAAGGGGTACCCCCATATTTCTAACACCCTCTGTGTGGTATGCAGCCAGTAATTAGTGGCTCACTTATAGAGTGAAACTGCAGTTTCAGGTTCTAAACTGTGTCCAGGTTCTAAATTTGTGCAATAAAACATCCTTGTCTCAGTATTGTCTCTAGCTCCGCCCATGCGAGTCATGCAGCCCCAATTATCTCCTGAAGAAGATTGTTTGTAAGACAATCTTATAATGATTTGGATTTGATAATGGATAATGGATAATGATTTGATGAGGTCCAGATCCAACACTATACACCCCATGCTTCATTTTCTACATTTCCCATTCCCTAATAACAAAATGTAGATACAGTACCACACCTTAAATCTCCAACTAGTGGGTTTCAGTGACAACAGCTCAGGGTTTCTTGGTTCTTTGTAAATAATGTTAAGAGAATAACAATTATCACCCTCTGAAACAATGGCTGCTAAAGGAGCATACAGCTTCCAGTGATTCTTTGTCTAGGAAATGAAACAGAAAGGAGTGAAAATATTTTATTTACCTGCCATCATGAAGAAAATTCTCATTTTTTGGTTAACTATGAAATCTTACCTTAACTACCCAGTAGATCTTTTTTTTCTCTCTCACTAATGGCAGAATGTCAAATGAAGGTTTCATCAGTTGCCATATATTATTAATGGTGTTTTGTTGCAGGGCATAGTGTTTCTAGACTGTCTTTAGAATTCGCAGTGCGCAGGCTGCACATGGTGCGGTATCAGCGTCATTTCACGGTCAGTGCTCAAAGCTGTCAAAATACTTGAGGAGAGCAAACCAATGAGATTAACTTATAGCAGACTGTCAAGAAATTCCTTGGTATTCTGGAAATACAAAACCAAACCAGTGCAGAGTGGTTATTTCCATGGGACTTTATAGAGAGACATCTCACATCCAATAAGCCAATGCACTGCAAACTCATATTTTTATTATTTATTTAATAATCCAAGTAGGTCACTAACATCATTAAAAAAAAAAAAACTACATAAGGCACGACTTGTTTTATTACTGTCACAGTGGTTCAGTGAAGCAAATTAAGGGCCCATTTGATATTACTTGTTGTACTGTATTATATCATATCTTTGTAGTAGTTTCTGTTCACATTTTCCTCCCTTATAACTCAGTCCTGCTTATTGTTTGTTCCATTAATCATCCAAGACTTCGTGGCACATGCAGGGAGCCTTGAAATATTAAAAAACAAACCTCAGAATCATTATTGTACAAATCACTCTCCCAGCAACATTGCACACAGTTTCCATCTCACATGCTTCACTTATTTTTTGGGGGGGTTGAGATGTTTCTCAGAATAGATCATTTCAATTTAAAGTGGGTTACGCTCTTTGACTCTACTCTTATACCTTGGAAGCTGATTGAAAATAGCTACACAGCTTTTTTTTAAATATGTTTGCATCTTTGTAGGAGTGTTCTATAAGTTTGGTTTTCTAAAGATATTTCTTATGAATAGTCTTGATACTGTAGCTGTGCATTCCATCTCTGCACAGAGCTTTCCTTTACAGATATTTCCTTTAAGATGAGGATGCACCTCGATTAATGTTTTCTGTCTTACTATTAGGTTGTTTTTTTCCCAGGGAAAGCTGCTGGTTTTGCTTTCATCCTAGAGTGAAGTAGCAATGTCCCCTGTACAGGAATGCTGATGCAGAGACAGAATATGGATGATAGGAAAAGCTCTTTGGGACAGTTAACTGAGTTTTCCTGGGGTCGTTATTCACTTTTCCATTTTAACAGTACAATCATCATGTCTTCATTACCTACAAAGACATGTGTCCCTTTTCTAGTCCCAAGAGCTAATTTTATCAACCAAGTTCATCTGGAATTCAGTCCACATAAACTGTACAGTCCTTATGAATACAAATCATCTCTCTGTGACTTGAATCATGGCCAGGCACTGGCTGTTACCATAGCAGCTAATGACATCACGCCAGATTCCATTTCTTTGTAACCCCAGTGCCTCCAATACCTTTTATGCGAGTGACATGAAAGATGACTTTAAGTGATATTTCTGTATTTTTCTCAATGTATTCGCTCAGATGGATTGCCATGTTTACATTAGGTCTTTATTTTTTGGTGTCTTTTAAAATTATTTTCCTCTGAATGCTGTCATTACTTAACTTATTTAGGATGGAAAGGCTCAACCTGAAATAAGAAAAAAATCTGGACATGCATTAATAAATGTCATTTTGTGATGGCATATGTTATGCAATCACCTTTTATTTTACAGTTCAGAGTAGCTTTGAATGCAGGCGTTCTGCTTATAGATAAGATAATCCAAAGCTTGTTTTCTCTGAGGCATACAGTAGATCCAAAAGAAACAGCTAGTGTTTCATGCAATACATACAGATCCTTTGACATGATCTAGTTTTAGAAATTCTAAATGCCATGTCATAATTATTTAAAGGTTCCACAGTAAAATGCCTGTAGCTTCCTATTTGCAGTTTAAGTGCACAGTTCACTGATTAAAATATTATAGCATCCAAGTCAATTGAATATAGATTCTTTATGTGGTTGTTCTGAAGAGGAGGAGAAAATTTACAGATCTCAGTCTTACCAAAACCCAGTGGAACTGGTAGAACAACACACCACTATCCTCATCACAGGCAATCCTGATATGGGATGCAATTATACTTCAAATGTTTTAGAATCTTGTGGCACATCCTATAAAAAGCACATTTGCATCAGTTTCCACAACTGCCATTACAAATGGGTCAGTTAATGTACCATTCTTATTCTTTTTGGCTGTAGCAAAAGGCATTTAGCACTTTACAGGCATTGGAACCTCTGTAATAATAAATCTCAACTAAAACATGGGGTTATATTATCACAATTTGGAAACAGGAGCACTGATAATGTGGCAAAAACTACTGTTTCAAGAACCTGTAGTTTTGTATGTAAGACCTGTAATTGTTTTGAACCAAAACATTATATTCATTTTCTGTTTCGTTTTTGTTTTCATTTTGTTGCCTCTCTTCCCTCTATCCTATGGTAGGATCTTGCTTATAATAACTTGCTTGATTTGAGATCTGGGCAGTATTACAAGCTACAGGCGTATACTTAATTTGTAACCTACAGGAAGTGCATGCAATATGAGGCTGCATGACTGATTACTTCGCTGTTATGCCAAGATGATAAATTGTAAGACTTAAGTGGTGTGTGGAGCGCATTTATATCAGGTTGGCTTCACTTGGATAGGAGAACCCTAACACTGATACACACAGATGCATCCTCTGCTATCGTAAAGCCTATATCACACTAAGTCATTTATTCTCTACATTTTTCACTACATAATTTCTATTTGGACTGTTATGTTTTAGGTCAAATAGGGAGGATTTAGTAGCATTAAAGAGAATCTCAGTGAAGAAAAGTAATTGCTTTAGTTTCCTGTTTCAGTTTAAGGGTTTATACAGCAGCATGCAGATCTCTAACTGTTCTAATGTCCAAAACACAGATTCTACCTGGATGGTATTTTGTTTCTTTTGTTTTTTGCATGCAGTGTGGTGACACCCCTTAAGATTTTTTTGGTTGACATCAACAAAGTTTCTGATTTTATAGGCAGGTGGAAACGACTTCCTATTAAGACTTGGTGATGACTAGATGAAGGTCAGATAATAATAATAACTCCTTACCCTTATATAGCGCTTTTCTGGGCATCCCACTCTAAGCACTTTAACGGTAATGGGGATTCTCCTCCACCACCACCAATGTGCAGCATCTACCTGGATGACGCGACGGCAGCCATAGTGCACCAGTACACTCACCACACATCAGCTATCAGTGTGGAGGAGAGCAGAGTAATGAATGTCTACAGTGTACTTGGCTCTTTATTGAGTGCTTATTTGGATTTTATGCTGTGTTTGATTCAGCTGAAGGCAGCCTATTTCTCTTTTGCAGCTGGGGAACTCAAGGTGACTTTACCACGACACATCCTCTGCCTGCTGTGAAGGTGAAACTATTCACTGAGAGCACTGGAGTGCTGGCTCTGGAAGACAAGGAACTGGGAAGGGTAGGGAAAGCTGTTGTCCTTCAGTGAGATCAGGCTTTTACAAAAGGCGCTCAGCTGTCCTGTAGGACAACCCCCAACTTCTTCCTCCTAAAGCTGAAGGAGGCTAAGCTGATCCTATGAGCTCTGTAGTAGGGTAAAGAGAAACTGAGTGCCATTGCAGAGCAGTGAGATAATCACATTCTTTTCAGGTAACACTGCCAATGTCATCATTCACAGGTGTACTGAGCCTCAAAGTTCTCTGATGATTGAATATACAAATTTTAATTTTTAAAAATGGAAATACAGTGTACATATATTAAACCTCATTGTCTCTTCTTCTATTTCTCCTGTACTATTGCTTAGCTCCTCACAGGACTAGGTTGCTTTCTTGTTACAAAATCAGGTTCAGCCTGTTCATTTCCTTGACACTGCATGTTGTCATTGCCCTTGTTTCCTCTTTCTGCCTCTTGGCACCAGGGGGAGGATGAGTTTAACATTGAAGAGCTGAGTGTGTCGCTAGCTATTAATAGTGTCAGTTGTCCTTCTCAGGAACTGCTTTTTTCTTGTACAAGAGCTATCAGGTCATTGCCTAGTGTTGCCCAAAGTGCTACACAGGTTCATTAGAAAAGATCATTAACACACAGCCTGCATGAGAAGAAAAGGCAATAATTGTTAAGACAAATGGATCAAGCTTTTAAAATATCTAAATAAGCAGCGTAAGAAAGACCATTAATGACTACTTCACCAACCCTCTCTTCTTTTCTAATAATATTGCAGTAACTAATTAATCTGGGTGAAGTGTTTTCTGATGTAGAAGAGGGATCTTCATAGACCCAATTATAGCCGAGCACCCAACCTTGAGTTGTTTAATTGAAAAGTAACCTAACCCTAGCTTCACAGTTAATTACCAAATGTATAAACTGCAGAATTTACTTTGCCTTTTTCTTTTGCTTTTTAAAAGTGAGATATTTATAGTTATTTTTTATATCAAAATCCTTTAAATGATGTCTCATCCATCCGACCTTAGCTTTTTGCAAGGCGGTTTAATCTCAAACTGCAGCAGAAGCAGCCTCTGTCAAAGCTCTTACTCTTCTAAAGGCTCATTTTCAGAGCCGCTCAAAGCAGATTAGATGGACCTTCTCGAGAAGCAATTCTCAGCAGTTTTTTTTTTCTCTTTCCATCTGTAAAATACAGGTTTTCAAAGGGCTTTTTAAAAGAACCTCACTGTTTTAGCAATGCTTTGGGAAAAGAAGCAGGAGACCTTAATGTTGGAGAAATATATAAAAGAAAAGGCAAACACTTTGTTCTATTATACTGTCCTGTTAAAAATGAAATAAAGGAAGTAGTAGCTTTCTGTCATCTGAGGCCCCTTACCTAGCAGCCTAGCACTTGTTAGTCAAAACTGAACTTTTTGCAGAACGCTTAGTGAGTGAAGTTTTAAATACACACCTAAAAACAGCCTGAACATCTAGAAACACGCTTTTTAAATAATATACCTCAGAAATATTTAAAAACTTAATTTAAGATACGATCATAGTAAACAATATTTAAGAATACTGTACATTTCTGCTGCTTTATAAATTGATATTACTGTATGTTGTGATTTTTGTCTTTGCTCTTTTTATTTCAGGTTGTTTTGCATCCGACGCCAAACAGCCCCAAACAATCCGAATTACACAAAATGACAGTTTCCAAAAATTGCCCTGATCAAGATTTGAAAATTAAACTTGCCATTCGAATGGATAAACCACAGAATATGAAACATTGTGGGTGAGTGTCTCCTTTCAGTGACAACAACAATCTGTCATATACTGTAGATGTTCCATGAAACAGGAAGGAAACAATTGAAGATCATCATCAATTACCGGAGTACCATTTACTTCTGCAAATAGCTCACAATTTAGCCAAACACTACGGGGCTCGATGTACTTTGTCGATGATTTAAGAAAACGTGCTGCCATCTAGTGTTATTGTAAGTGTAGTGCAATCTACAAGTCGATGGGGAAATAAGAAATACTGTATGTGATGCCTTTGATGCCACTGATGAAATTAGATTTTTAATGAAAAAGGGTGATTGATTCAGAAAAAAAATATATTTTTGCATCCCATTTTATTTTATTGTGTGTTGAGTGAAATAAAAGATAGTGAACCTGACACTAAATTGCAAATTTAAAGAAGAAGGACATTAAGTAAACAGCTTTTTTAATCATCCAGCTTTTCTTAACTTCTGAAAATATGGTGAAGCTGGTTCCTGTCGTGACTTCTTTTAGACTTTCCTAAAACTTTCCCACGCACAGACCCACTAATCTGGGTTTTTACCCTGTTCAATGCTAATTTAAATACAGTTTTTCAAAACTTATGTGAGATGTTACACTGGAGTAAGGTACTAATACAGTCATATTTTTGTCACAGAAGTATTATAACAGGATTTTTCAAGGGCTTAAAGATTCTATTCCTGATGAAAAAACAGTTTATATGTATAACAAGAGCTTTTTATATCATATAAGAATAAAATATCTGTTATACTTTTGTCACGTTTTAATGAGACAAAGATACTTTTAATTTTTAAACCACCTCAATATGAATAATAATGCAAAGGGTATTCCAATTCAAAAGCTGAAATTTTCATCCCACACTCTAACTTCAATCCCCTGTACAGCTGCTCTGTCTCCTGCTCTTTGTGTGTTTAGTGTTTGAGCGCTCAGGGCTCAGGGTGGGGGGAATGACTGTGCAGTCTAATTTTTCCTGTGATGGCACAGGGGCTGGAACAGCCAGTCTCACCTGGGCACTCCTGTTGTGCTGGTACCTTTCTTATTCATCATGTCAAACCTGTGTCCAGAGACCTGACCACAAGGTACTGGGCCCTTTGTAAATAGGACTTTCTTATGGTTCCAGAATTGTTTTCAAACTAGAAGATGGCATGCTATGCTTTTATCTTACATCTAGTGAAGTGCTTCCTTTCAATGGTGCTAAATCATCAGGTTTCATTATGAAATAATGAGAACACTGGTGCAGGTCAGGGGCATGGTTGTTTGTGCTGCTGTCTCACAGCTCTTGGGTCCCACAATGTTTGGACCCCGGCTTTGATTCTGTACTGAAATGACTGTGTGGATTTTTTCATCTGGGTAATCCAGTATCCTTTTCAGGGGTAGAGCAGCCCTGTGTTCTCAGGATGATGTCTGGTTGGCAACAACCTTTCTGATAATGAGTGCATTGGAAAGTTCCAGAATTTAGGAAAATAATACATATGTGTGTCTTACATTTATATTTTTAAGAGGCAGAATTCCATGCAGCTGTGGAATTGCATTCATATTATTTAATGCTATATTTTTATTAAAATCCTATTGCAGTGGCTTAGAATTTCGACCACTTATTTTTATTTCTTTTAATCCTTAATATCCTTTTTAGCATTCTGAAGTTGCCCATCATTCAGGTTTCACCTGCTTGAGGAAAAACAACATCTGTTATCTGGATTCTGTGCTTAAAGTAGGAACACTGACAGGGCCCTCAAAACTGATGTGAACAGATGACTTTGAATTTGAGCACCTTATAAATACCTTTTTAACCAATGGAGTTTGAAATTAGACCAGGAGGGGCAGCAAAGATTTGTTTCAGGGTAATGTATTGAGTTCACAACATGCTGTCTTCAAAGGATGATAATAATAATAATTTTATTTATAACACACCTTTCCAAACACAAAGATGCTAAGCATACCAATAAAAAAGAAAAAGTGTAAAATGCAAAAGGAAGTTACTAAAATGAAACACGAACATACAGAATAAACCGTAAATAAGTAAAGCAATCAGACATAGGCCCTAGTAAAAAGATGAGTGTTAAGTTGTTAAAAAAGAGCAGTTGCAGTATTGACATTATAAATTCATGAATCAGGCATTGATAGAAATTGCCTAATGCAGGCAATACTTCCAAGGTGAAATAATATATATAAGGATTAATATAAATATATTATAAATATTAAACATTAACCCCTTCTAAATAAATGCTGCAGTCTTTAGATTACTATGAACAGAACTGTGATACAGTAGTATGTTAAAGTATTATTTTGAATTAGGAGGACATACTGTAAGTATAAAGCTTTCTTTCTATAAGTCTGCCAGAAACCATTTCAACCAATGTCAGGAGTGTGTGTGGAGGTATTCAATTAGGATCATGATCTTTCTCTGAGTAGGAGCCTGATTTCCCTTCATAGATTAATGAAATAATGCATTTTCAGGTACCTATGGGCAATTGGAAAAAATGTGTGGAAGAGATGGAAGAAAAGATTCTTTGTCCTGGTGCAGGTAACTAATAAAATCATTCTGGTCCTGTGACTAAATGACTAAACAAGTGTATGACCATTTCAAATTGCCTGGACTTTTTTGCTGCATATACTGTAATTACCATTGTATATTTTTAAACTCATACTATAACATAATTTTGCTGCAGTTTTTGCTAGAACAGGGAAATACTACTTTTTTATTTATTAATTTTAGGTTGGGACTAATTAGAGTGCATGTATTGTATATAAGACATCTGTTCAAAAACAACCCATCATTAATGGTAGGTTTTTTTTTTTTTGCTACCCCTAGCAACTGCCCCTATGTTTTAGCTAGGCTAAATTACAGGTTGTCCAGAATCAGAAAGTTGACCAGGACAATGGCAATCTAGGTCATAACATTCATATCTTAAGAATTCCAGAGGATTCTCTCCATCTCTCCTTTCAGCACAATACTGCTAGTGATAAATGCCAATTAGGGGCAGTCACTTTGTTTTTCACATTTTCTGTTTATTTTTCTTTTTTCTGCCTCTTTATATCATATAAAGTCACGTGTAAGTATTTGATATTTTGTTTTGTTTTTTTAAACTGCAAAAAAAGGCTTTCAGTGTTTCTAGCTTTAGAATGATACAGGAAATGCAGAGCTCTTGTGGGATCAAAAGTGCTTGGTCAGTTTGATTAAAACAGAGGATGGAATACAAGCTAAATTGATTCATTTAACTTGCAACCCAGAAGAAACAAGCTGACCAAATGAATTTAAACTGAATGTGTTTAACACTGCAGAACCCTACCCCCCTTGTATTTCAGACACTTGGAAAAGGAAATATAAAAGCTTAGATTTACTCTTCCCCCCGTAATGTCTCTCTATACTGTGTGGAAAATGGAGAATGCAAAGCACTAGAGCCGAGGACAAAGTGTCAGCAAGTGTGCCCTGATACCTTCACAGAGGCTGTAAAATAATGTATTTCAGGAACATTCTTTATAAAAAGAAACAATAATTACAGTTAAATAAGACAAATATGTTGAAACCAAGCTAATTCAGAAAGGAAGGATTGCAGAAAAAGTGCAAAGTAGTCCTTATTTCTGAAAGACCTTGTTGTGGTAGTTGGGTACACACTTTCGTCCTGATTGTAACAATTCTAGAGTATATGTATAATCATATACAGGGTATATGAAGCAAACCTAGCTGTCAGTTCTATGCTCTTAAACAAGCTGGTTTTGTGAATGTCAGATACTGTATATGGATTAAGTCACACACTATACTGTGAGCTACTGTATAACATTTTGTCAGCTTTATCTTTGGGATTTCAGTCATTCTACAGTGGTAGAGACCAAATGAATAGACAGCTTTGTTTAAAAACATATACCTTAGATATATAGTTTTGTTGTACAAAATTCCTTTTGCTTCCATGAAAATGAAGGTTGCAATGTTCGGTAAGTTTTATGCGTTCGTGTTGGTAGCTCCTCTAAAGGTTATGAGTTTTTAAAAGAAAGTCATTTTAATGTTTATTCTACTATTTGTAATCTGAATCAATTTATAATCAAAGAGACCAAAATATTTTCTGCTTCTTTTTCTGTGTTGTCTAATTAGAGGCTTGGAGGTTTCATAATAAAGTGAAAATACATCAAGGAAAAAGTCAGTGTCTTAACATGAGCCGTTGCCCGCAGTTCTAAATTCTGACCACTATATGTCACTAGAGTCCTGATCAATTAGGAACGATGACACGCTTATGGCACAAAAGGAAGACAAATTCTTCAAAGGACTGAGGGACAGCCAAAGCTAAACCCTGAAGACACAACTTTTGCTTAATTTTTTGCATTTAATTTGTTAGCTTTAAAAATTAGGTATTTACTAATTTACAAAGATAAATATTTGCTGATGGTTGTGCATTATCTAAAATACCAAGGAGCTATGCTGATTGGAGCTGAAAATTAAGCATGCAGTTTTAGAATACTGATAATAACAAGGTTATTTAAAAGAGCATAGCATGTGATACCATCAAGAGCAAAGTCATTTAAAATCCTTTAACTGTCAGTTTGACAGTAGGTCACTAGCCTGTGGGATACAGAATGCTACGCGTTACTATAGCAGCTTTTTAGTCCTTGACAATCCCAAACTTTAGCGGAATACAGTTCGGGGCCTTGATGTGCCCTGATGGCGTCCTGAAGGCGTTTCAGAGCTGGCGAGCCCGGCTCTCGCCCTGCAGCTGGGAATGCTTGCATCAAGAACATGACATTGAATTTCTCATGTCATACAGAAGCAAACTCTGTGGACTGAGAGCTGCCACTTGCAGCAGAGGTGACAATTGCATTGATCGCTGGGATTTCAAGATTGCCTTAATATGACTGGCACCTAGCAATCCGTCTCACATTGTTTGTGACAGAGTGTCACTCCTGGACTCGTCTGGGCTGAATGACAAAGCTTCCACCACATCAGAACAGGCTTTTGCTCTGACAGTTATGGTTGCCATGCACCAGTTGGAGCCGACTGCTGTTTCCTTGTGTTTGTCTGTGATTAGAGTAGAGTATTTCACGAGCAGATGGATTAATAAATAGATAATGCACACAGATAGACCTCATGGTGTACAAATGCTTGTGCACTGAGGAATGTGTGCTCTCTTCTTTATGTAATGTTTGCCACACTTCCAGCATATTTTCCAGTGTCTTTCCTTTGTCAGATTTGATTAAAACTGATTGATAACTTGGTGTCTCTTCTGTTCTGTTTTAGGTTAGTCAGTATACCTTTGCTATGTGCAGTTACAGGGAGAAGAAAGCTGAGCCACAGGAGCTGCTGCAGCTTGATGGATACACTGTGGACTACACTGATCCACAGCCAGGTAACGGCACTTTCACAGTGTCACACAATCCCAGGTCATCTGTGTTGTCTTACCTACATGATAATGTGATTTTATTTATTTTTTTGCTGGTGCCTATGAAACAGTAACACACATCATCAAGCTACTTTCCCCGTTCATCTATTTCTACTGCTGTTGGAAAGAGCTGACATATTTCTGTTATAAAGTTAGATAAAACGTAACAGCCTGGATTCCTATGTGCTAAACAGGTAGCTACAAAAAGACAAAAATGGTGAGACTTACAGTAGGCAACTGAATAAGTAGCACAGTTATCTTGGTTTACTCCAACATTAAATTACAGTACATGCTGTAATCTTTTTCTGTGCATCACCATAACCAGTATTGAGTGTTTTTAGTATTTTAAGAAATGACATTGTCTCCAAAGGTGAGAAAAGATGTAAAGAACAACAGAAAAAGAAGAATGTTCACACGTCAGGTTCAATTTATGATGTTAGTTTCATTGAAATTCTAAACAATAGTTGGTAAGGTGACCAACATTTATATTTGGTTTATGGATGTTTAACAGCTTTAATTTAGACACAGACAGTCAATAAATCTATGGAGGTAAAAATCCAATCAAGCTGAGAATAAATATATTTGGGTTTGCTGTTAATTTTCACATATCCCAAATGAGAAAGCATTTTTCAAGATATACTGTATACCAACCTGAAGTTTGTACTAAGCAAAGTCCCTGTGATTAGATTATTAGAATAAAACAGTGTACTGTTGTTCCACTGTTTCAGAAATCACTGTAGTCTTGGCTCTGGAATTTACATTGCATACTTGGGTCAAGCAGCTCATTGTACCATTTATGAAGCACAATTTACATTTTTAAATCTAAAGATTATACTCATACAGCATGTATTTCCATTGACTGAGCTTTTTATAAAGAATGAAAATAGAACAACTATCCTTTTAAAATAATTACTTCAGACAATACTAAAAGAAAGATCTGCTTAGTCCATGAAGACATGAATAGGGTTTGAAAATCAGTTACCAAACTTGACCACTGGGTGGCATCAGTTTTTCTGTAACAGCCAGGGCCACATGAAATATCATGGAAGTTATTAGATGGATTTTGAAAGGGCCAAAATCAATCAATCAATCCATGAAGCCATCAGACCGAAATTGATTTCCACCATTGTGGAAAACATGCTAAACAGCATTCTTGAGTATTTCATTTTGTGGTTCGGTGAGAATTTTAATTTATTCACGAAAAAGCCTGCAAGTAAACTTATCACATTATGTGCCTCAATCTGGTTTCAGGTAGGGTATTGTTTGTTGAGCAGGCCACAGTAAAATGTTTGTTGCTGACTAATTTTTTATAGTGGTTTGCAAAGTTATACAGACCTACAGTACATTTATTACTGACGAATATTATCTTAGATCATAGGACTGTCACAGGAACAGCTGAAAAGTAAAAACTGATCACAGATCAAAGATCATAATTGTGTAACGTTATAAATCTGTTTTTCTTTTCATGATTATGGCACAATTGATTATTGTTGCATTATTGATGCTACATTTCCTCTGAAAGCATTTTTATCACACAGAAAGTCTCTCAGATACATTCAAATATATTTATCTAAAGGGAGATCTATACAGTATATACAGTTTGGCAATAAACTGTTTTGTACTGGCAAATTACTCTGTGATGATTACAACTGTGATGATTACAACAAAGCTGGATGAAAAATTCTGCTAGAAATAATATGACTGCCATGTGCTACCTAATAGGGTTGCATTTATGAAAGCTTTAATCTAATGAGTTTTTTATGGGCTACACACAATCACATCTACTAAAAAGAAAATTTGGGTATTGACCTTCTTCAGAGATAGTCCAACAGTAGTATAGTTTGACATAAACGATGACGTAAACACGACGGTGTTTCAAAGATTAATATGTAAAATATATTTGGGATCCCACACAGTAAGGAAGAGAAAACAACTATGCTGACAGTTAGAGACACACATGCTTGAACTTTGTTCAAAAGTGTCCTTTTGTAAGGACCAGATATAAATACATGACAACACGATGGTACAGAAACTGGAAATGTGACAGGAACTTCACAGTAGAATCAAAAGAGGTCATTTCACTGCACAGTGATGTCTCCTCTTTCCCTCGTGACTCTCGTGTGTGTTTCGCAGGTTTGGAAGGTGGTAGAGCTTTCTTCAATGCTGTAAAGGAAGGAGACACAGTGATTTTCGCCAGCGATGATGAGCAGGACCGTATTCTGTGGGTGCAGGCTATGTATCGTGCCACAGGCCAGTCGCACAAACCCGTGCCACCCACCCAGGTTCAGAAACTCAATGCCAAGGGAGGAAATGCACCCCAGCTGGATGCCCCCATTTCACAGTTTTGTAAGTAACACAATATTGATTAAGCTTTTATATTTCATACTGCTGCGTGCCATTCACTCGCAACATTTATCATTTAAAACCTGACACTGTGTCTTATTACATGCTGGCCCTTTCAAAACCAGCTGTCAAGCGCCAAAATGAGCTTTTGACATTTCACGGGGTCCCTGACTTACTTTTTTTAACAACTTGCTTTAGTTCTCTGTTTTCAAAATGACGTGTGTTTAAAGGTGCAAAAAAACCTTTTCTTTCCTCTTTTTTTCACTTTAAAAAGACATGAAATAGGGGTGAATTTTCCTGCTGTGCGGTTTCTAACCCCTTGAACTGATGGCTCAAATAATTTGTCCACAAATCTGAAAATGAACAGGCATAGCTTAGTTTCCCTTTAAAAGGGACACAGGACACAATGTGAATGTTTCACCATATGTTGCTTTGAAATATTGCACCTTTAAGCAGCCTACTGAGCTGATATTCAAATGAAGGTAAGATTGTTTGAAGCAATGCAACACCTGTTCTTCATATTTTTTGTAACTGTCTTTTTTTAAATCCTATGTTGTGTTTACTACTATTCACTTTACTTAAAATATCAGTTTTTTAATTAGGATGTAATACCTTGACTTATCTTTGTTACCAGTAAATAAATTTCCTGTGGCATCAGAAATTATTTTAGGGAATCATAGTAATACCATTGTGTCTAATATTAAGAGTACCATAATAGATCCTGCTATTCATAACAAAATAAATGTATTTCAGTGTGCATCCTATCATCTTTGGAGTTACTATTAATTGAATGTAATGTGCTACTTATCTAACATCTAAACCTTTTGTTTAGAATAAATGGGTTATAGAGAAAATTTATTTCCACAAAATTATTACTTTTCTTGAAATGATGAAACAATAATTGTGAAAGACAAAGTCACATCTCAGATTGGCTACAAACACAATACTGTGCGGTATCAATTTTAGAAGACACAAAGATGCAGACTAAAGAAAGTAAAGATGTTTGAAAAACAACAATAACGATTGTAAAATACACAAAGTAGGATATTTTAGCTACATTTGAAGTATAATCCTATATAGAATCTATAACACAAAATCTATGTTGTTTGTTCATTTATTTCTTTGTCTAGTATATGAACATTTGAGATTTTGTAATAAGTTTATTCCCTGGTCCATCTAATGTCATTCAAAGGTTACTAATTAATTGAAACTCAGCATTCTTCTAATTAAGTGCTGTCATGTTTCCTTAATTTGATTATTTTGAGTGGCATTGGGTGAGAAAGGAGGAGACTCATTCAGAACTTTGCTGCAGAAGATTTGTTGAATAAAACCTCTTCAAGAATCAAGGTCCTAAAATAGAGAGAAAAATTCTGCTACACAACACACATGTGTTTTGTCATAAACTATTAAAATATTAATGTGACCAATAAAGTTTTCTATGTGGAAAGTTGTTATTTATAATTCAATTTGTTATATAATGTGTAGAGTTGTTTCAGTCTAAACCTAAGCCAAGATACTGCACGCTAATAGTATTACACAAATGTTTTCCAGCTGTATAGAACTCAAAACTTTTTCTTAATCTTGATGGTAAGTACACCTTCTTGATTAAAATCCATAATATATAGTCTTACTGACAGTAGGAACAGCTTATACTCCCTTGATCAACTGTTATCTTAGGAAGACAATAAAGAAGTGTCCAGGAATAAGGAATACAGTACGTAGATTTTACAGAGAGCCATGGCCTTTTAAGAAAGCATAGGATTCACAAAATCGTGAGATTAAACTGCACACAGGGAGATGAAAATGATTTATTTGGAGGCATGAAACATAATAGATCAGTGAGTGTGGAATGATATTATTAGGCCACAGAGGTAAGTGCTCCTGCTAGTATCAATATTTTCTTTCATTTCCTATCTATGGGACAGCTGGCTACAAGTTAGGTTTTTAATATACAGCGTATTGTAAATAATTTATTAAACCAGATCTTAGAACAAATCATCTGCAGCACAGTAGCCGACAGAAGAATGTTCAGTAATGTTGATCTCATGTTGGTAGAAGTTGTGTTTTGATTTATGTTTTATTTTTCATGCTTTGCTTGTACCCTAGTACTTTAGCTGCTAGGTTAGGGCTCCTGTCTGCTGTCCTGAGCCTTGTTGCTAGTCTTTATGTTATTCTGGTTTGTTCCTTCTTACCCTGCTAACTTCTAGCTGGACTCAAGGGTAAGTGCTTCCCTGTAGCTGGCACAGCTCAGATAATCACACCAGATTATCTGACATATGCAATGTGCTTTTTATTTTCTCTTCTCAAATCTCTTTCATGTTTCGAACTTGTAGACAATTCTTTCTGTTAATTTTCTCAGTTCAGGTTTGAAATATAAAAGCTTCCATTCTTGCCAGTTAGGCTGCATGTGGTTTTCGTTTTTATTATTGTTTTATTATTTTGCATAATTGCCTTCTCTCCATAAATCTTATTGGTGTTAAAGGCTCCTCTTCGTAAAGCTCGTAGCTGGATACCTATTTTCATTTTTTTTGTAAATATGAAATACATATTAGTTAACAGCATGTTACTGCATCACTAGAATGTTGTTCTCATGGGACATATATAAAACGTCTTTTACCCAGATCCTTTATATGATAGCTATGTGGTCACAGACTTGTTTTTTAAGGAGTAAAAAAGTGTTTTACTGTATGTATCCATAATGCTGTAACCAAGCCCACAGCAGTGCTGTGGTGATCGGGATATACACCAATATATACAGTTCTCCAAAAACATGCATATTATTAATATGATATAAAACATTACATTAATAATATGAATCAATTTTATTTCACAGCCAGAGCATATAAAGGTTATCCAACAAGAAAAATGTCTTACAACTAATAAGTCAAAAGCTGTGAAAACAAGCCCCCTTACATGAAACATACTGAACATTTTAAAAGAAAAAGAAAACTTCATACATGTTTTAGAGTAATCATCTGTAGCTGTGAAATACTGTGCCTGTCTTAATTTACAAAATTAAAGAGTTAGTGCATTTGCACACCTGCATTTAGATTTGAATTTCATAGAAGTGCATGGATTAGCTCGTGACAGGCTTCTCTAATGACTTATTAAGACTGCTTTACTTTAGAGGGCTCAATTTATTTTAATTTATTTTATTTTGTTTAGTTTTTTATGAGAGTTGGCAAATATGTACTTGGAGTATTCTGAATGCCAATGAGAAGGAGCAGGTGATGTCATCCCTCCTTACCATAAAATACTCCAATTTTCTTATAGTGTACCTTTGGATAGCAGGTAGATCTATTTTGCCACCTGTAGGCGGGATATTTTTTTGTTTTGGATGCCTGATTAGGAAACTACCTACATGTAGTGTGATGTACTACATTAATTGGTGGAAATACAGGATTTTTTCCCCATCTATTTAAGAATGAATCAATTCTGGTCTGATGGCTTCATGCTATTCCCATGTATTTGCACCAAAATGCATTGCTGTCCTAATAGAGTATTACAGTAGTGGTATGCTTCAAGTGCTGTAAACGAACCATAAATACACTGCAACATATTTAAGTATTGTCAACTTGCAAATGCTATATGGAATGCAGAACAATTTTAAACAATGATTCAACTAAAAAGAACAGCTTGCATGAAAGCACAGTGTAAATTACCCTAGCCTTTATTTTAAGAGAAAGCATGTGACTTGATACAGAATTTATCACATAACTATTGATGGAGGACAGAGGAGTAAATCAAAGGGGTAAATCATTAAAATCATTTTGGTGACTGAGAAAAGCTTTCTGAGGAGGAATTCATTGACAGTACCACTTAATATAATTAATTTCAGATGTATAACCAACCCTTTGCATGGAACAGGTGATATGTCTGTTCTTTAAAAGAGGAAATATTTCTGTAGTGTGTCTTTGTTTTTTGTTTTTTTAATTTCACTGAGGAGAAAAGGGAATGTTTAAAGACATTAGCAGACTTTTGACTAGTGCTCTCATTGTAGAAATACATTATTTGGTTTGCAACTGTAAAGAGGGTGTCTTCTTATAAGTTTTGCTTATATTTCAAAACCTTTTTGATGGATTTCACAGGAGCCTACAAAACCAATGTATTTTATTTCTCAGTGCTCCTGTTCAGAAGCACAGGGAAAATCCCCTGTTTCTGGCAAGGTGCATCTTGTATATTATATCAGAAAGGAAAGCCTGCATTGTGAACAGGGCCAGCCTGCAGCACATTGTGTTGAGCAGACCAAGTACCGCAGGCTGAGAACTCCTGATCTTTCAAGCCACTTTGATGGTAAAATCATAAAGGGTTGAAACAACCCTCAAAAAATAATTTACTAAATAGCCTCAATGTTGCACTCAAGACTCTTCTAGCAAGTATCTATAAATGAATAGCTCCCATCAATCATTGTCATTTCTTTTCTTCCTTTCTCTAGATGAGGTTGACTAGTGTCATTGTTTGTTACTGTCCAAGCCCCATCTTCATTCTTTTAATGTCAAGCAGATATGACAAGCACACATTTAACCAGATGAGAGGGACACAAAGTCACCTTTTTATTTGGGATTTCATTGTTTTTTCATATGCATCATATCATTGTAAATCGTTTGGTTTCGTTTAATCATACATCTTTGGACAGCTGGGCAGTTGACGACAGGGTTTTAACCACAAGCAAATTAACTCAGCATTTAAAAAAATTAATTAAATTGCCTGTTTTATTTTTTTTAGTTTTGTCCACTTTTCTTTGTTTTGATATCTTCAGTTCATTGTGTATCATACAAAGATTAACATGAAGGGATTTTTCAGAGATATTGTAAGGAGAGGGTGTTTTTGTGTTTAAATTTAATCTGGAGCTAAGTTAAATCGAGGGGGGAAAATCGCTTTAATTAAACTGCTTGTTAAGTGTTTACAAATATTTAATACATTGAAAGTAAGTAATAGAAGCTTCGAGGATGGTTAATAGTCAATTACAAAAAAAATGAAGTGCCTAGTGCCCAGTATTTATATAGGCTTAGCTCAAAAGGCTTTAAACTGATGTTGTAAGACTGGTCCCATCAGGATCTGCGTGTCCAGGGTGAAAACAAGGAATAAAAGAGGATGTGGTAGCCAGAGCAGGGATTAAAACCCTGTTTTATTTGTTCAGCGTTTGTATGGACTTCATGTAATGGGAAGCCCACTAAATGTAAAGAAAAGCGAAAATTTGTCTTTTAATTTAGTTACCCCTTAATGAACAAAACCGCACAGCGGGTGGTGTCCACTCGACCACTCCCAGATAGTATTTTCCATTTGTTTCAGTGGTGGACTTAGTTGTATTTTAGCTACACAGGTTGAGTTTAATTAGTTAGGTCCTAGGAGGCTGTGCCTACAGGCTTCCCTCTGAAAAGAGAAGTGTGAATGCACTCAGGCCATTAATTCATAATAAATGGCACACTGTAACCCTTGCTGTGTCAATTCTGTGTGTCTTTTGACATGATAAGCAGAACAGGCATGATGTTAAACTATTTTCTTAACCAACTCCAATTCTTTACAATTACCAATGGTTACAGGAAAAATCCATTTGGAATTTTTTGGACAATTTCTCTCGGCAAAATTCGGAATTTGTCTTGCTTAGCTGATTCAGAATCCGTTTTTTCTTTTCTTCTTTTTTAGCACACAATTCATCATTTGTTAGGAAATGAATGAAATTCACCTATAGAGAATGGCAGAATCTATTGTATAAATGTTACAAAGAAATCATTGTACTTCATTTCTAAGAATCCTCAAATGTTTACAGAAATAATTAGGAGATACACACATCCCCTGGTCATAAAAGTCAAGGAGTAATTTAACCCAATGATTCGTGCATGAGTGTAAGAATTACATGTCCATGTTGATTGTATTTCATTAAAGATTTGCCAAATTGTATTTCACTCCAGTTAAGCTTAATTTTCTTTGCTAAGATGCAAGTTGACAATGAATCTGTTGACATGATTTAATTTGCTATACAGTAGATAAACCACTGCCAAAAAGTGAAGCACAGTTTTGAATGTTGTACTGTAGATAACCATTCAATTACCTAAAGCTTTTCAGCACACTGACCTTTTATTTTGTCTAAATCCTGTTGTTTTCTATGTACAATGACCTAATAGATGCAGACAGAGCTCAAAAGCATGGAATGGATGAATTTATCTCAGCTAACCCCTGTAACTTTGACCACAATTCACTGTTCGAGATGGTACAGCGACTCACATTGGACCATAGGCTGAATGATTCCTACTCTTGTCTGGTGAGTGGATATAAAAAATCGATACTCTCTCACTGCTCCCATTAAGCACTGCTTGCATTGCTAACTGTAGTATAATTGTATAGTTCTTTGTTACATGTTATATAGGATTTGTGGGTTACATTGTGGATAAGGAAAGATATATTTCTTTCCAGTTGAAACTTGTTTTCATATTTTCCCTCTCAGTTGATTAGTAATGTTGTTATTTAGAAAAAAATAAATACAAGTATGTAAGTTTTCTTATTTTTAGCTCAACCTTTTTAGTTAAGTGGCACAAAAATAAATTGTGTTGCAGAAAAGTAGGAAACCCTCTGTACCATAGAGTGTACAGCTGGTGTTTCGGGAATTGTGAAGTCTTGTCTTTTTCTTTACTCAGGGCTGGTTTAGTCCAGGACAGGTGTTTGTCCTTGACGAATACTGTGCCCGCAATGGAGTAAGAGGCTGCCACAGACATCTCTGCTATCTCAATGACTTACTCGAAAGAGCAGAAAATGGAGCTATGATTGATCCAACTCTCCTGCATTACAGCTTCGCTTTTTGTGCTTCTCATGTTCATGGGAATAGGTAATCGACAGTCATTTCTTTCACCCTGTCAGGTCAAAACTGGACATTTTGTTTTGTTTTGCTTCAAATTGTGATGACATATTTTTTCTGGAATATGTGGAAGTTCTTTTTGTATGTTAGTTCAGGAGTGAAAGTCTGCTTTTGGGTGTTAGGAATTTCATCTTGATATGTTTGAAGTAGCTGCAAAACAACAGAAGCTTCCAAACTGAGAATGTAGAAAACAGATTACACGGGCTCCCATGACTCTCTACACATCATGCTCTTCCATGACTTCGTTTTTATGTTTTTCAGTTCTCTGTTAAATTTATGTTTTGTTTTTCTTTGTTTAAAATCTTCCTTTGTTTCCTATTTCTTTTTCTTTTTTCCCATTTCTTACTTTTCTTTATCTCTCTTTTTTTGCGTATCTCATAATGTCAATAACAATCACACCATGCATAACCAAAAGTCAGAAAATGCCAGATTTACTTGGTGGCCTACATAATACAGAGGCTGAGGGGGACAAATCCCAGAGCCCCTCAGTCGTTGAGCCTGAGGGTAACTCAAAAAAGGATTTCAAAAAGGATTCTAAAAAAAAAAGGGATTCCAAAACTCAACAAGCCCCAGAGCCAAAAAGGTAAGAAAGAGTTTTCATCATCTCCCCTGATAAGTCCATTTTTGTGTTCTATTCCAAAGTTTAAAATATTGTAGCTGCAGTTCAAACAATTATTCCAAGAGTTCGCAAACTATTTAGGTGGATCCACATTAAACGTCCAACCAATCCATCACCCTAATAAAGACAAAATTCTGAAATTCCACTCGGAGAAAGACAATATCATAATGAAAAGCCCATGACTGGCATCAGTCTCCAAATTCCAGTGCAGTATCTTGTTTCAATGGGGTTCAGTGTTAGGCCTACTCTACATGGTATAAGTGTTTTTTCTTTTTTTTCTCTAGCTCATTCTCACTGTTTTCATTTTTAACACTTTATTTCAGTCAACATTTTTGTTGCCAATTTGTTCTTATTCAGCCCATCTTTTTGTTAATGAACATATCAATAAATAGTGGTGACTGTGTCTGGTTTAGTTTTGGCTTAAAAAAAAAGCTTTAGAAAGCCATAAAACATACCTGCATACCTTTTTCTTCAATCCGTTTGGATGCCAGGTTGAGATGAAGGGGGTGTTAAAATGAGACTGTTTTTAAAAAAATGAATGAAAGGAAGAAAACAAAAGCTGAAATCTCCGTTCCTTACAGTATGTCTCTGGCATGTTAAAGGACTTTCACTCCACATATGTGCTAGTTACACACTGGTCTATGCTCTAAGCTTGCAGAGCTGCTAAACATGGCCGGCTTTTGTTAAATAAACAAGTCACTTCTAGTATGATGAGGAAGGTCAATGAGAAACAGAGCACCATGTGGCTATCAATCTGCTGCTCCAGTGATAGACAGTGATGGAGTTGAGGTGGGTTGTCTATTTGTGTTGTGTTATTATCAGGTCAGACAGTGAGACATCAGTAGCTCGCAGTCAATGAGAGGGTGGAGGGAGAATGTGATTCAGATGGTACAGGACAGCCTGGAGGTCAGGACTGACAGAATGACAGTCCATCACGGAGAAGAAACTAACTAGCCGCTGTCCGAGGTCCTGCTACGCTGAGACAGGCTTGCTATCTAATCCGTGGCTGAAACAAAAACTGGCGCTGTGAAAAATGCATCTTTAGCCATGTCCTAACCTCTCTGACATGTTAATTTATATGCAAAATGTTAGAAATCAGTTAATCAGCACCTTTTAAGTTAAAGCGTTTTCACTTTTTTCCCAACCTTGTTTAAAGAAAACAATAAAAAACAGCTGCTCTTAGATGAAGAGTAGGTAATAATGATCTTTAACTGGTTTGTGACTGAGTTGTTTTCTAATTTACAATAGCACAGTCACTGTCCCCTCTAAACACTTACTGGCTACAAAGTTGGCAAGTCCTCCTCATTAGAATGCTGCTATTAGTGTGTGTAATTAATAGCAGTGGTGAGAGAATGGCATTAAAACTGAATGGGAAGTGGATGGTCTTGCAAGAAATGGATTGCTTAATTTATTCAGTATCTTGATTGTGTTTTCAAGGCTGCTGTCTATTTTCTGTCTTGAAAAAAACAAATTACATCTTGACTTTATCTGACTTTTTTATTTTACTTGATAAGTCACCCTCAAAACCAACAACACCAGAATGTCATTTATATGCAGAATTTAACTAGAAGATCCCTAAATATTATTATTTGTGACATGGCTTAACATGGGTGATTGTGAGCAGAGTACATTTGACAGAACTGGTGCTAACCTCAGTGACAATAACTTGAAAAGCAACCGACGTGACATCTTTTTCATCGCGCTGCCGAAAATGTCATCTTTCTGAAGGACAGTGAGAAAATGGTTTGCCGAAAATCTGAAAGGTAGATTCAAAGGATGCTCATCATGTCAGATACAATATAGTCCACGGCTGTTTGAAAAAGAAAGTCCCAGATATTGTGATGTGTTTCAGCTGGCATGCCCTTCCAGTCATCCACCCTTCTCCAGAAATGGCTGCAGCTGACCTGTAGAATGCAGTCACACTCAAAAGAACTTTACTAGTCAATACATATACAGTACCACTCATTTACAGAAAGAGACAGCACAGCAGCCCACAGAAATATAGAAATATGGCCCCTACAAATTAAGATCTAAAGAATTTCTTTACAGGATATAATACAAAAATTGAATTGGACAATACTCTTTTTCTATCCTTTATTTCACAATGATGTTGCTAACATCACCAAGTCTAGTTCAAGACCTACACAACATGCTCAATGTGACAGATCTGGTCAGAAAGATGGGCAGAAAGCTACAGTATCTGGGCACTTCGAGTCTTAATTGACAATAACCACTTTGTGCCATTTGAGTCTAAATTCTTCCAAAGCATTACTTACGTCAGGCAAAGCTCATCATTTTAAGACATTTCTTCTTAAAAAGGGCCACCAAAACACAACACAATTATTTGTCTTTTTTTTTCTCACTGCCCTCAGGTGCTGAAATGGTTCTTGTAAATAAGCACAAAAAAAAGCTAGCCAATTAACCCCTGACTGGAGGTTTATTAGAGGTTTTGTAATCCTTTACTAGAGCTTTTGTGCTGCCTAACTATTCTAGTACTGGGGATTTGCACAGCTTAGGCTGTACTCTGAAGGAGGCCTGTTAGTAAGTGCTCAGTTTATTCAATTGAAAGAGGTCTTACAACACAGAAACAGACACTGGGAGGATAGAGACTGCACCAGCGAGCACAAATCCCTGTACTTTGCTTTTCAATGACAGAACTAGTAATGATGTTTGCCAGAACTGTTGGCTCCCGAATGGATTAAGTTTTCCTACCAACCCTCTTATTATAGACCTCAGGCTGGCGTAAATATGCAGGGGCTTCCTGTATTGTTCTTGTGATGCTGGGAAAGAATGGAGCCCAGGCATAGTGTGAAGCGGTTCTTTTTTTTCCTCCATTTTCTTTTGTGCTGGTAGTTCACCTTCTGTTTCACAAAACAGACTTTATTTTGAACTCAAGCCATATGGGGAATGGTTTCAGAAAGCCCCCAGGTTCTTTATGCGACTTGCACACTGTATGGTACTTACAAACCTAGACAAACCAAAGGGGGAAAAGATATGGCAAGATTAAGAATGAAATCTTGAACATTAAATCAAAATTGATTTGTTTTACACAATTATTTGTGTTATACTGTACATGTTATTGATGCAATATATTTTTAAAAGGAAATGCAAAAACACTGTTCTATATATACTTGTGTGTGTGTTTATTATTTAATTAATTGAACAGTGGCTAATGCATTATTACTAGTACCATAACTCTAGTGTTCTGTCAAGTGTCAAGTGTGGGATGTTGAACAACACTTTCACATCTAGACCTTTCTCCATTTAACATGTACAATTGTTAAGATTGATTGAACATGCCACATTACCTCTGCAGTAGACATGTACATCATTATGTGATCTTAATTTGCTTCCTGCTCCCCCAGGCCTGATGGAATAGGAACAGTAACAGTGGAAGAGAAAGAGCGCTTTGAAGAGATCAAAGAACGCCTGCGTTTGCTTCTCGAAAACCAGATCACACATTTCAGGTATTGAAGGGAATGTGGTATGATGAACTTCCCTTCTATATGTCTTTTGGCCTATTGAAATATATGCTGTTCCCTGCTTATTAAAAAATATTTCAAAAACATTTGCAAGAGGCATTTAAAGCAAGTGCCCTCTTTAAAAAACTGAAAACATAATTTACAGTATATGGGTGGCAAACAGCATGAAAAACAAAATTAATCTACTTCATAAGAAAATCTGGGTATTCTGACTAATCTTCTTTTAAGACCTTTGAACCAACACATTTCTATTGATCACAGGTAAACTCTAAATTCTCCAAATTAGGCTCTGCTGAGTGTATTGATACCATAGTGCCTTTAATTAAAAATGAATTGTTGTCTTGTCTGTTCTCAGATGCATTTTGCATGTGCTTATTGCACTCTCCAGTAAAGCTGCACATTATAAATACAAAAGCAAAAGAGCATTGTGCTAAAATTACAATTGGGGTTTAGAAAATATTTAAAAATATCCCTTGCTCCCTAGTCCTAAAGATATTCAGGTATTAAATTAAACAAGATGAAATTAATCTGACCAGTAAAAGGCTGACAAGCTATTTAAACTGAAAGCACTCTGCAGATTGCACAAAGCAGAACCCAAGTTCATAATTTACGGGTGTCAGCTCATTCAATAGGAAAGTGTCAGTTCAGAGTAGGTCTTGAAGGAAAATTACTTGAAACAGCTGGACTTTGTACAACCCAACTGCATGACACAAAAATGTTCTCAGTGGTATCCCATAGGTGTTGTATAAAAAGCCAATTAAGATTGCTGTGCCATGTTTACTTTCATATCGCATTTCTCATTTAAAACTGACACTCTAAAATTTCTGTTTTTAAATTGTTTTAGGTATTGCTTCCCATTTGGTCGACCTGAAGGTGCATTAAAAGCTACGTTGTCTTTGTTAGAAAGGGTATGTGCTCTTTATTTAAATGTGTACAGATCTAATTTGTTTTCTTGAAACTGGGATGGAATACTCCAAATTCAAAACTGTATTAAAAAATAAATCAGCAGCATTTTCTACACTTAGTACCAAACCCTTACAAGAAAAAATAATGGTTTTCTTCTTTGTGGGATTTTAGGAAATTTGCAAGAAAGACGTGTTTTAAAAAAAACATTAAGCATTATCAAAAATGTTAAATGTTAAGACCAAATTAGGTGTTGAGAAAGCAATTGAGCATTTCTTAACTGCAAAGAAACTGAAAAATAAAATTGTGTTCAATGACTGTACCACTGCTGCAACCATGGAATTCTTCTATGGTCTCCTGGCTGTTTAGTAATGTTATTTCTCTTATTTGTGAAATACTTAATTTTATGAAGCAAGCTTCATGGGTATTTTGCTTAATCCCTCCCTTTATTTATATTTCAAAAATATTTATGCGAGACAGAAAAAAGTAAAGTATCATTGTAATGACTTTTGAATGCAAAGCAAAAAGTGGCTTTTGAAATTCATGTTTTGCTGTTAAAGGTTCTTATGAAGGACATAGTAACTCCAGTTCCACCAGAGGAGGTGAAAGCTGTTATCCGCAAATGTCTTGAGCAAGCTGCGCTGGTCAACTATACCCGGCTGTCTGAGTATGCCAAAGTGGAAGGTAATTAGTTTTACATTTTCACCCCAACCAAAGATGGGACAGCAGAAATGTGTTTAACTTTTAATGTTCACTTTAAACATCTGGATACTTATTTACTATGGACAATAAGTGTGGATTGTTAACAGAACTACAGGGTATTACTGAATTTAACATTTTAGGATGTTTTAATTAATTCATTCAATTTTAACTTTTTCATTCTTGTGACTGTGGTAAACAAACAAAGATGTATAAATATGGTGCACATGTAGTAGAGGATTTATTTTTATGGCTTTGTTGAATCTGTTCATTTTCCAGGTGGCAATATATATTTTACATCTAGGCTGTAGGTATCATAAAATGCAGTGTAAGAGCTAATGGAATATTGTTTTTTTCTATACACAAGGGGTGCTTTGTTGCATCTAAGAAAGTTGACTAAGGAATCATTTTAGAAGACAGTTTTCTTGCTTCAGGGATGCAGACCTATTCCTTTTGAGAAATAATGCATCTTCCAAGAAATTAAAGGCAAGCAATACAAATTCAGGAGGATGGCTCTGATCTCTGTTGCTCTAACTGCACACAAAATGTGGTGAATGTTGGTACTTTACAACAGCTCCACCTGCAGGAGTAACAATGCACACCACCGCTCAGATATTTGTTTTAAAAGGGAACTTACAGATGCAGGGATTGGCACTTTTGGCTCCTAAAGGCCCCAGAGAGTCAACTCTTTCTTCTGGCCACATCCCCTGTGCCAATAGTTGGAGTACAACAGTGATAAAGACATTCATAGAAGTGACTGTTGTGTACCAGTGATGTAGAAAGCAAGCTACAGTATCATGATTATCATTGAGCAAGTGGAACATTTTAGCAATGAGAAGATTGTGAGCCTTACTGAGGAAAGCAGTGGATGACCTGGTCAGATACAGAAGTATATACAGTATATATGCACTCCATGTCCTTCTGCTTACAGATTTGATGTTGCTCTTGAGATTCATGGAAGAACATCTTGTATAATTGTCTCATTAAAGAATGTCAATTGATGGTTTACTTCAGGTTTGTTCATATAACTGTGCCTTTTATTTCAGGTCAGTTTAATTGTGGTGTAGGCCACAAACACAATGTTAGAGATGTGTAAGTAAAAATGCATTCAATTCCAATATATAGATCTCATACTGTATCCTGATTCCTTTTGTGCCTCAATTCCTTCTGGTTTTTTGGCGATCTGACCTCTTTCATATGGGGAATTGTAGGTGTTGGAATACTTTGAAGCAACAAACGTTTTTTCCAGCTCCCAGTTCAGAGAAGTGCTTCATCCCTCTCCACTACCTGCTCTCTTCTGCTTTTCCTCTTTCCTTGTTTATTGGCTTTGTCACCTATTTATAGGCTTTTTTATAAAAAGGTGGCCACAAATCCAATATACAAAGCATGCTGGGATTGCTTCCTCAGGCAACCCAACATCTTTCAGCTGCATGTGCGAGGTTTTCTTTGATAGGCATAGACTTATTTCAAAGGTCTTTACACTGTCAGATTCTTCAAAACAAATCTGAGGTATCCCAAAGGTAAAGTGTGCAGTATCATGCATTTTTATTTATTTAAAAAATCAAATTTTAGTCAATGTCTATAAAGAAACACCTGAAGGTGCTTAAGATACTAAAGGCAAACACATTCCCTTAGTATCTTGGCACCTAAACTACTAAATTCTGTTTTCCTTTTCTCATGATGTTTTTGCCATGATTAGAACTGTTCAAATCTGATAGAGATTTTTGGACGCCCCGTGGTCACAGTCTTGACACTTGGGCATGCTGAATGGTTAAATCGAATTGTCCAAAGAAGCTACACCCTGACAATTTCTCAATTCACTCTTCTTGTTGATCTCAGCTCCTTCTCCCAACTCCCCAGCTCTCCTTTGAACCTTACTTTACCCCAGCAAAAACACCACAACTGTTCTTCTTCTGACCTAACATACAGTTTTCCTCTGACCTCTGACCTCTTTACCTCTGACCTAAGCCTCTTTGCATGCCCAAATCCTCTTTTATAGGGAAAAAGAGAGAAATGTATGAACATCCTGTCTTCTGCTTGGCCTCTCAAGTGATGGATTTAACCATTCGTGAGTACCTACCTCATGCTTTCCACCCTGCCTCTCACTCTTTCTGTTCCACATTTTTAGCCAACAAGCCCTTTACAGCCCCTAACCAATCTCACTTTCTTGCTTCAAGTCTTTTGCCTTCTGTCTGTTGCTTCTGTCTGTGAAACCAAGTGTGAGAAGTCCAATCAGTTACTGTCAACGACAATCAGGATTTACAACTGGTCCATCTGTTTGTTATAAACATGAAATATCTGTAAGCTTTTTGCGTTAATGTTCATGTCTGTGACTTGAATGCATTTTTACTTTGCTTCTGTGTATCCCTCAGTTTTTTCACTGGTACACAAAACAGGAAAAAGGCGATGATGTTTTTGTCTTATTGGGATTCAAAAGACTAGAAAACATGAGCTGGGGTTTTTTTTCAAATAAAACATTCTGTACGTTTGCATTTCTGACAACCTATACATATTTTAATTAAAATCATGAACATGTCTTGTCTTTTTTATAAAAGCTTTTTGTCTTCTTCTTTCTTATATTTTAACCTTTTTTTCTTTTTCTCAAGCTGCCTTTACAGCATTTGTTTTACTGTTTTACTGGGACTGAAAACTCTTTCCATTGCTTGGTTTTACATTGAAATTTATTATCTCTGTTGGGGACCATAAGTGATGTCAGCTGGTATACAGAATGTCAGGTTGGAAGGAGTGACTAGGCTGGACTAGAATTAAGGTGTCACCTACTGTACTTTAGGAACAAAGACTCCTATTCATCCTTTCATTAATTATGGATATCTGTTGTTTCTCTCTTCTCTCCTCCTTGCTTTCTCTTTCATGTAGAGAATCAAAAGGATCCAGGTGAAATATTATGTATAACTTGTAGCGTAGTTATGGGAAATACAGCTTTTTCTTCTCTTGCAGTTTTTTTTTTCCCAGCTCCTTGAGTGCTGCTTTCCAGTTCTTGGAAATGCACATCTTCCTAAGGAGTTAGTTTGTGCTGTCAGCAACTGCTTGCACTACAATAGTGCTGTATTAATGGCAAACAAATCCATTGAATATAAAAGACTCATAGAATAACTAATCAAATTATCTATAAAGACAGTCTGTTTGAACTGCGAGGAAGCAAACCTTTCTTATGTGTTAGGTTTTAACTTTTTGGAGGAAAAATGCAGACTAAACCATTCAGATTGATTTTATTTGAACATTTCCACCTTTTAAATATAAAATTGATACTGTCTCCAGAAACATACATTGTAACATCTCCAATGTGTTAAAATCTATTTTGCCAAAAGTTATTTTATCTTAAATTGCAGGCGCTAGACTAAACAGTTCGGCGTGTAATGTACATTCTACTAAACTTAATGTGCGTTACATTCTGTAAACTTACAGATAATGTTATGATATTTAGAAACATGGCTGGATTAAATATATTTAAGGACAATTTCATTATTATTTCAATGTTTTCATTTCAAATCACAGTTTGATTGCAATATCCGTTCTTTAAAGCAATACTTGTATTAATGTCAATAAAGTTCAGAAACATTTTAATTTTTTTCAGAGGTTTTTATTCCACTCCTGAATTTCATTTTGTATTTGCCTTCATATCTAGGGCTGTTTCTTTAATACATTTGAGATGTTGCATTAAGTATGTGAAATAATTTATTATTATAAATATTATTATTATTGTTGTTGTTGTTCTTGTTGTTTCAACCTGTTTGGCAGACTGAAACATGTTTGTTTATCACATATTTTTTGTAGTTAATATAAGTTCTACAAGTGACATTTGCCTTCCTGCATTGTAGCGATAATTATTCTGTGGTTTCTCTGTACTTTATGTTTCTTTTTAAACCATTTTAAATGCGGAAAGTCAATGCATTCTAGGCAATGATTTGTAGCATTAAAGGAGAGCCACTGAATAAATGCTGTACATACCCATTAAATTCTGTACATAATGCAAGACTAACACATAAATAAGACACAGAATAGTGAAGTGCGCTTCAATGTAACATTTTGGGTATGTAGAAAATCATCTGGGCCAAGAAAATGTACAAGCAATCTACTATTTGGAATACTCACAATTTTGCTTTAAGAACAGCGAAACACATGGGTTTGTGTCATTTTTCTTTAATATTTACTATTAGTACATGAATATCAGAAAACAAATCTGTAAATGAAAATAACATGTCAAAATATATTAAAAATATAACTAAGTGTATATTAAATCCTTTAATACCAGGACACTGAACTCAAGGAGAAGCCTTTCCTTGGAAAAGAGGGGGCAATGCCTCTGTCAGTAAGAATGAGGGTGTTGACCCTGGTGTCTTTGTCAAAGTCCACTCTGGGTTTGTACAACGAGATCACAAAATTTTCCCCTTGGTTCAAATGATAGAGCAGTATCTCACTTGATCTGCTTGATCTGCTGTGCACTTGAGCTGCTGGCACAGAATGGCAGGATACCACCCATGTGCATTATTATTATTATTATTATTATTATTATTATTATTATTATTATTATTATTATTATTATTATTATTATTATTATTATAAA